TTTTTTTTTTTTTTTTTTTTTTTTTTTTTTTTTTTTTTTTTTTTTTTTTTTTTCTCAACACCGTACCTCCCTCTCGACACACACAACATCGACATGGTTTGCCTCGGTTCGCATAACCACATACTTAAATGATACATTCTGTTTGCAGCCGATCCAACCCCGATCCCCGCGACATCTCGACAAAAGTCACCCGAGCACATATGGCAGAGCAGCAGCACAAGGGAATACATATACAGAAAAGCTCGAGCTATGACCGGCGACGATGACGCGGCGTCGTTAACAGCGTCGCATCGTCACCGGCAGTTACTTCGTCCGTCACCCGTGGGGTCGGGAGGAAAAAGGATGCGCCGGTGCAGGACAAAGAGGCTCGCCGGCTCCGAATACCGTCGCCGAGTCGCGGGATCCCGGGATACCCCGGCGATCTCCACCACGTGATGGTACCGAGGAAGGGGTAAACTCGAGGAGGACCATGCCGGGGATCGTGGTGTTCAGGAGGCGCTGGAGCGTCGGCAGCGACGACCTCGTCGTGCCTGGTGCCTTCCTTTTTTTCCTCCACCTCGTTTGGTAAGCGCTTCCTTTTCTCTCTCTCTCTCTTTTTTTTTTTTTTTTTTTCATGACTTTTTACCCATAGAATAAAAATGGCACGCCCATGTATGGGAGAACAAATAACCTTTTGAAAAGCGTTGCTTCTGTAACCCTTTTTCGATTTATAGTCTAAAAAAAAAAAAAAAAAAAAAAAAATGTTTTCATGAATATAAAAACTCCGTGTCCGTTCGGCCGCAAATGCGCATTGTCAAGTTCTCACTTTGATATTTTCTTGTATTTTTTTTTAACACTGATCCTGTGTATAGATCAAATGGAAAAACTCCCCGAGTCTCTTTTTCGCCCTTTTATAAAAATACCTCGAGGAATTCTTTCACTTCCATGATGTAAGTCAAGTGCGTCTCTAAACATCCTCGCGGCACTGTATACCCCATCCCCAACTTTATATTTTCAAGTTCACCGTCCATTAGCGGAGAAAAAAGAAGAAATAAAGAAATGCACAAACATCAGTTGGTCGGTGCAGTGAGGGCGCACAAAGAGAGGGCGAAATTGCGCGTAGGATCAAACAAACAAACAAAGTGGGTGCACTGACGCAAACGCGCGTCCCCTTTTATGTACCTACATCCTTGGGAAAAGGAGAACGATAGAAGGAATGGGAAAAAGAAGGTGTCTGTGATGGAAAAAACGAGTGAAGGCGGGTTGGAAAATGCTGAAACGATGCCTGCCATCGGCACATCCTCGTAAAAGCGTGCGCACTTATGTGTAAGTGTGTGTATGTGTGTTGTTTATGAACAAGTGGTTTCCTTTGAACTTTTATTTACAAAGTTTCATGTGCTATTAAAAACGCTACGATTTTATAAAGAACAATTTAAAAAAAAAAGCTCCCCTAGTACATACTGACACAATTTCAACTCCCTGACACCAGGATATCATTTTTGGCATGGCTATAATATATTTGAAAATCATAATCAATTTATTTTACTTGTTTAACATTGATTGTGTTTCTCAAATTTTTAATTTATGGGTTTTTAGTCACTCATAGTCTATAAACTTTGATTGTTAGCTCTATTTACTATAATTAATGATAATTTGATAATGATCTCGTGGTTGTCACATATGTTTATTGGGAATAATATCTCGTTTTAATAAGAAAAAAAAAAAGTTGTTCTTTCGACTGTATTAATTAATCATAAAATTTCAATGATACTTCCACCTGCTGGTTGAAGAAAAACATTAAATTTGAAGAGCTAAATTATATTCCAATAAAATTTCTCGCATAAATTTATGACTTGGTATCAGACAAAATTGATTATTTGAGATTTTAAACCGTCCATCCTTCATTATAATCAGCAGTTAGTATCGTGAGGTATAATTGCATGGTATACAAATATTCGCACCATGTGATATGACACGTATCGTATCTCTTGGAGTTTTTTTATTAAATGGAATGGAAACAACCTATCCAGTGGTCACGAAAGAGCAATACCTCTGCTAAATTTCAAGTTTATGTCTCCGAAAATTCATGCAAGGTATAGTCAAGTACCTACAAAATGACATTTAGTAAAAAAACATATATTATACACAACTATTCTAAGTTTTGACTAAGAAACTTAGCAACAAATCCAACAATTATTATATATTGTATATAATTTTTTTACCAGTTTAGATCGTAAGAAACAAAGATTTTTTTTTCATTTATACTACCTAATCTGAATAAATAATAATTTCAGCCCACGAAAAAAATTTTAAAAACTGTTTCCATAAAATAAAAATCTATGCAACCGAGAAATGTTTTTGTAATTTTTGTTGAAAAAAATGTATATTCACTGGATAAGATTCGTTTTTTTATTTTTTCACTGCACTCTCATCGAGTGATGAAAAAAAAACTATAATGTTTCTCAAGAAAAAACTGACACACATCTCTGAAGCGCAAAACTCGTACAATCGTTTTCCCGGGTACCTGCAAAAAATCAAGCAATAAAAAACTGACAAAAAAACCCATCCTTTTCAGATGGTCATCCAAGCGTATGTATTCCCAAAATATTATTTTCAAAACAAACAAAACCCCCCCCCATTCGGTGTCGATAAACACCCAAACTCCCGCGCAGCTCTCCTAGATTATCCCACGTTATTTTTACCACCCATACCCTCCCGTTTTCTCCGCGACACACTCAACAACTTAATATTCCATCACCCATACGGTTTAGTACTCCCTATTAAAGCACAAAGGGACCACCATCCGATTTTCATTCTCGGACCCACGCGTACAAGCATATACAAACGCGTGATGCTCGGCAAATGTTCATTCGACAAGGTTTTGCCGTTATAATAGGACAAACGATGGTTTTCAGCGGGTCAGCGGTCACGCGCGTGCACCGAAAGGGAGAGCGAAAAATCCATTCCTACCCACACACGTAAAGGTTATTGTTCCCGTGTGCGATGGGAAATAAAAGGAAAAAGAGGGTATATCTGGAGCGTGAAGCGCGCAAACGGCGTTTCCTCTCATAGCTACGCTCTCGTCGATTCGCTTTTCCTTTTTGTGTTTGCACATGTGGACCAAAGGTCGTTCCATCTAATCCACCCTCTCGTGCGTATACTCGTTTCCAACAACAATCGGCGACTTTTTTTATAATAAAAACCAAAAATACGATGATCCGATCTTTCGTGAATCTTTTCAGGGTTTGAGATTAAAACTGCTTCTTTTGCGTCGAAAATTAAAAAAACAAAAAAAAACAAAAAAAAGGTCTTAAATGCATGAATAAATAAAGAGAAGCACTTTTCGGGGGAGAGGAGGAAACTTTTCGCGGCGTTCGTTAATGAAGTCCATACATAAACTCGGAGCGGGCACGAGAGTCCGAGTTTTGAAAATCATAACTTTTCGGACTCGCTTGATTTGTATAATGTACGCGATACAGTGCAGTACTTCGGAACGCGACAGTAGTAGCCGAGTCCATTATAGATGCATATGTATTCGTAAAGTGCTTGTATGCGCTTCGTTTTATGCTCGCCATCGTCGCGTCTCTCAGTTTTTTTTTTAAGTCGTTTATGAGTTTGCCTATGAAATTATGGGGATCGAGTTTTTGCGAGAGATGGTTGGTGACGTTGTTTGTTCGTCTTTGAAATTTTAGACCTTTCGACGACACTGTTTTTTTTTTTTTTTTTTTTTTAGTAAATCGAGTCTGATGGCTTTGCTGTCAAAATTTTTCATCAGGCTTGGGGGTACATACCTTTTTTTTCCAAAACCTTTGTGTCGCAATTTTTTACTAAAAGTGTAATGTACCTGTGCTGATAATTTTTCCACAGAAAGGATTTATAACGTGGTGCTTGATATTCATTTTTTTCAAGGAAAAACAATGCATTCTTTGTAGAGAAAATCAAATGACGAAAAATGATGCGTAAAAATATTTGAGAAAAGTGTTTAAACGTTTAATTCACGTACTTAATCATAATATTTATTCTTAACATTTAATGAATTGCATTTTTTTACATGAATACAATTATGTTGGGTACTGTGCTATAACATTTTTTTTTTTAAACTTACCAGTAAAAATAGTAATACATCGATTTATTCGTATAAAGAAATCTAATTATAAATTTAATGAATATGAAATTCATGAGTATGCACGTTTTCGTACATTGTGTATTTTAAATTATTCGAATTCTCTATGTATAAGAAGTGCGATATTAATACAATAAAAAAAGTTCAATAATACTAATTAAAAAATATTTTTAATGGAATTCGCAATTTACTCGCAGATTGAAGAATTTCATTATGGACGTAACAAAAATTACTTACTGAGAGATATTGATTTTCACATCCTTCACAGTCGTGAATGTCGACATTCTTGTAATGAGCAAAAAAGGTGATTTATTTTTTTTTTTTTTTTTTAATTGAAGAATATAATTTTTTTATGCTAATAATCAAATATACTGACTTATAGTATATATATAAAGTAATATTCACCCTCGTTGTGGAAAAAGTAAAAATTAAAGAAGGATAATCAATCTAACTCCAGATGATGCCAAAATGTCTTGTGATGTAGATAAAAAATTGGCAGCTCACCAACGTAACGTGTTATACACTTGTACTTCCGTTCACATTCCCGTGGTACTTTTGCATTCATTATACCTTTTGCGTTTTACGGTACCTGCTCTGACGAATCGGAAAATTACTGGAATGAGAAATATTTCACGTTCGAAATTTCCAAGTTACTTTGGAATTTTAATTAACCGCGCCTAGAATTGCAATAAGGGAATTTTTATTAGATTTTGATGAAAAATTTATTTTTCACTCGCCGAGGAACAGGAATAATATGTCATACAACAACATATATGAGAAACAATATACGTTATTCTGTCATCTGTACCAAAATAAGTGTAATATACATACCCAATCAATTATAATGATATATAGGTATATAGTAACTTGAGAAAAGGGAGTAAAAAGTATATATATACATACTTTTCCCATTGGTGGCGTTTTGAAAATCAACCTTTTTTTTTTAACAATTAAAAGTGCCTAATTTACTTGACTGGATGTTTAGTCTTCTATACCCAACACATCAGTTGGCTGGATGAAGCAGTGCGGGAAAAAAAAAATCGGCTGACCTGCATAACTGAATCATCCTCGCTAAGTTGCGTTCGATAACTTATGTCAAATATATTATTTTATTCATTGCAATCGAATTTTATAAAATAAAAGTGCATATGCCTGTTGTTCGGCAATTCGGTATACACAGTATATACCCAGCCGCGGGTGTCTTACGCGCACGTTGACGCGCGCAGTTTCTCGCACCCCTCGTTTTAACAATAACACAACATAAGTATACGTAATATAACACAGCAGCTCCGGACTCCGGACGCTCCGGTGCGTCCCTTTTCGTCCTGGTAGAGAGTCGGCATAATGTTCCCGGTAAAAGCGTACATACATCACGTTCAAATACAATCGATCCGTCCGTTCGCGCAATTAGCCAAATTATGCCCGTTCCATTGAGGTTAAAAGTCACCGTGTCGCCGCGTTA